CCAACCAGAATATTAATAATTGTGCTTTTGCCTGCACCATTTGGACCCAACAATCCCAAAATCTCTCCTAAAGGAATTGAAAGAAAAAAAACCATCACATTCGAATCAAACTAAAAGTGGAAATTACTCTTCTGGAAAAGTTAAGAAAAAAATAATTAAATACCAGCCTTTTTTCACACAGAAAGAGATATATTTAGTTGCCACTTTCTTCACTTTTCTTGAAAGAAGAAAATCTTTCTTGTCATCATATTCTTTATGCAAATTGCTGACCATAATGGATGGTTTCTAATAAGGGAAGTTGGATTTAAAAAAGAAAGTTATAAAACAAATACCTATAATGAAATGACAGGCTGTACATACCTCATGTCCACATCATAAGAACTCTATTTGCTAATAAGGGGGATACTGTGCAAATAAATATCCATTTATGACTGAAATCATGGCTTATTCAAAAGTATGTAGACAAAAATATTATTTCCAAGAAACATTTTTTTCAGCTTGATTCATATACAAGGGAAAATATTTTCCAGATTAATTTCCATATAATGGGAATTGACCACTTCGCAATTGATATGACTTAACCATAAAGACTAAATTACCTCTTCACAACACTGGCAACTGATGAGCTCTTTGACCTTTAGTCTTTCAGCTTTGACATCTTCATCTTCATCCTCATTGTTTGGTGGTTCTAGAAATTTCCTTTTTCTGGACTTTGTTGAAAGCTTCCTAAATATACAAAGATAATAGGTTTTCAAATAATTAAAATAGTAAGAAATTCAGGTACTATATTAAGAAAAGACTGAAAAAATACAACAACATGACATCTAGGATTTTCTCTGAAAGGGGGAATTACAAGTGATATTTTTCAATGATTGACAGCATTTGGATGATATTATCTAAATTCATTCATTTATTCAACAATATTTTTTATGACTGTATATGTCAGGTATTCCACAGAAAGAAAGATGAAAAAACATGAACAATGTCCTCGAAGAATTTATAACCTGGGTATAAACGAAATTGACCAGAAAGAGGAGATACAGAGGGCTGAAGTCAGAACCCAAAGGAACACCATTTTTAAGGACAGGCAGAGGAAGAAGTGCTTGCAAAGGCAATTTTGAAGTAATAGTAAGAGGGGTAAAGATGCAAAAAGGAGATGACATTATGGAAAACAAAGGAATAGGAAAAAATTACAAGGAGGAAAAAGTTAATCATATTAAAGGCTGCATGAAGATTAATTAAATAAGCTGAGCCTACTAAACAAGGCAAAGACAAAATAATTATTAGTTATCTTACCGAAAGTAATTTTCAATGGAGAGGTAAAGGCAAAAACCAGATTGTAGGGCATTAAGGAGTGAATGAGAGGTGAGTAACTAAAGATGGAAGGTTTTTGGCTATGAAAGGAAAAAGAGATAATGGAATATGAGCTAGAGATGGATTCATGTTCAAATGAGATTTATGAGTTCTTTTACATATGGGAGAAAGGTGCTCCTCACTTCTTCCACAAAAAATACCCTACATCAAGATCCAGAAGGGAAAAATAAAGAGAGAGAAAAGAAAATCAAAAAATATTC